TATGTGTATATATATATATATATATATATATATAATATATATATTCACATATACACACAATATATTATTATATCTCTGAAGAGCCAAACAACTGGTCCAGACATGCGTATTTAAATAATGAGCTGTGGAACCAATACGGCGTTCTGGGGTCGGCAACTACTATATAAGACAGAGTCTGGCACAGTTGGTAGATCGGTTACTGCTGCTATAATAGCAGGTTATTAGGATTAAGTGATTTTGAACGTGGTGTTATAGCCGACGCAAGAGAGATAGGAGAGAGCATCTCCGTGGTCGCGATGAAATTTGCATTTTCCCGGACGACCTTTTGACGAGTGTACCGTTAATATCGGAAGTCCAGAAAAACACCGTATCTCTGGCATCGCTGCGGCAGCAAAAGGATCGTGGAAGAACGGGACCGACGACGACTAAGCAGAATCATTACACGTGACATAAGTGGAATCTCTCTGCAAATTGCTGCAGATGCTGGGTCATTAACAAGTGTCAGCGCGCGAACCATCCAAAGAGATATTATCAATATTGGGTTTCGGAGCCGAAGGCCCAGTCGTGTACCCTTGATGACTGCACGACACCAAAGCTATACATCTCGCCTGCTCTCGTCAACACCGACATTGGACTGTTAATGGCTGGAAACACGTTGACTGATTTTTCAAGTCTTGTTTCACATTGTTTCGAGCGGATGGACGTGTTCGAGTATGGCGACGTCATGAATCTATAGACCCTGCATGTCAACAGGGTACTGTCAGGCTGGTGGAGGCTCTTTGATGGTATGGGGCGTGAGCAGTTGGAGTGATATGGGGCCCCTTATAGTCTAGATATGACTCTGACAGGTGATATGAACGTATCCTGTGTGACCACCTGCATTCATGTTCATCGTTCATCGACATTCATGTCCATCGCGGACTTGGGCGATTTGAGCAGGACAATGCAACAGCCCACACGTCCATATTTGCTACAGAGTGGCTTCAGGAACACTCTTCTGAATTTAAACACTTTCACTGGTCACCAAAATCCCAGACATGAACAATATTGAGCATATCTGGAATGCCTTGCAACGTGCTCTTCAGAAAAGATCTCAACCCCGTAGTACTCTTCGAAGTTTATGGACAGCCCGGCAGAATTCATGGTATCAATTACCTCCATCACTACTTCAGATATTAGCCGAGTCCATGCCACGTCGTGTGGTGGCACTTTTTCAAGCTCGCGGAGGCCCTACACGATTTTAGGCTGGTCAACAAGTGTTTTTGGCTCTTCAGTGTATGTGTACATATTTGGGGAAGCTGCTGGTAAGCTGATATATATATACGGACCGTCAAGGTGTGCAGACATTTGCGGAGTAGTCAGTGTAGGGCATAGTTGGCATCTTGTTGAGAGAGAGTACTAGTGAGAGTAAGATTGTGCAGGAGTGAGCTGTAGAGCAGCGAAGTTACTCAGAAATCAACATTTATTCGGCAGATAATTGAAGTGGGTGCAGTAGAAAGATTTAAGGCGAGTTATAGTAGGTGCAAGGAAGAGGGACATGAATTATCACGAGGCGTTCATAAGACGTTATACTTCGCAATACGAGCTGAAAATGTTGAAAGACGTCGAAAATACGCTGTTTGCAAAACGCGTAGAGACAGTATCACGCATCGGCGTGCTATGAGTCAAGGGGAGCGAAGAGAGAGGCAGACGGGGGCGTGAGGTGCCGCGAGCGAAGAAAGAAGCGCAGGCGCGGTTTCCGTGGGCAGCCGGATGAAGACTACAGTATTTGTGCGACATCGTGGACAGTGTGTAATAATGATGAATTATTTATTAATGAATCTATAATTTGCACACTTTCTAATCACGATTGATTAACTGCAATGAAATTGTTCTCGTACAAAATGGTTGTCGCGAAAGCTTGTAGTAGTTCTGACTTGGCCCAATAGATTGCATTGCTATTCATTTCAACCGATAGCAGCATATAATAGGATAAACGAAATAACTGTTTGTTTCGTGTAACAGTAACGAATCGTTAACTGTTTAAAAATAATAGTTTAGCTTTTGAGAGCACATGAAATAACATTTCGACATTACTGATACAAGATTTTAATTTCATACGTGATGTTTGTTGTTGAGAATTTCTGGGAAAGTGAGAAAGAATGCGCATTTTTTACGGATATATTTGTAAATGGAATAGAAGAATAATATGTGTGATATAGGGAGGGAAGATTGGCATTGGTCACACATTTTTGCATTTATTTTGTTAGTAAGTGCTCATGGGTGAGTTTGGAATGGCCAATTCTCAAACAGGTGGGTGGATTTTGATATGAATGGGTGAAAATCAGATACAGATTTTCAAATGAATGTGACCCACAACTTATGTTTATTAAACTTAACTAACACCTTATACACAAGCATACAAATCAGTTGCCTTTTTAATATCAAATTTTCACAGAACGGTAGATTCGCCTACAAAACAATTAATATAGCAATTTCTGAAGTAGAAGTGAACACAAATAAGTTTGAGAAGTTTCAATCTCTACAAAAATTAGGAGAAAGAAACATGAAAGAGTTAAGGAAATTCGGGGAAGAAACAAATGTAGTTGTAAAAGATGTTGAAACAGAATTTTCTGAACTAACTGGGAATGTTCTGCATTTGTGCTAATGCAAATGTGCTATGTGCATATTAGCAAAACAGCTAAATAATGTAGCTGTACTGAAATTCAACTATTAGTATCACAACCTGCAAGTATTTGTTACAGCGATTATAATTTTGAAATTGCAATAAGACCAGTTCATATTCCGTATGGAGGTTACACACAATGTCATTAGGTGTTGGAAACTTTTGAACAGAAGTACTATAACTATTAGCTACTACGATTCATTGGTAAGTCCAATGCCTGATACTGAAAGAACGTGTTTGAGAAACTGGACATGAAATTTTCAAGACATGAAACTATTTTTAAAAAAGTTTACTGCGTCGGCGACGACACATTTTACTAGTTATCTTGTATTTAAATACAGTATTTTCATCATTCAACATTGCTTTCATTTTATTTATGTAATCCGTTTTACTGGCGGCTGAAGTCAGTCAAATTATCTGTGGTGGTGACCGCTAACGCTGCATTGATTGATTGTAAGTAATTTCAAGTGCGTCAACTGCTAAGGTCATTAGGGCGTGTGACCCATTTTCATTGCATTTTACAAAATTGTAAATTTAGAGAGAAATGTGAGAAAGGATGTGCACCACCAGTTTTAATATACACTTCGGATTATACTTCTTATGCGATTTTTGTAACAGTTTAATCGCATTACAGACCATAATTTGTTTCTAGACTATGAAAATCTGTTTTCTAGATCAATAAAGTGGATATAGTGGGTAGAGTGTACTCACGGCTTTTAACTTTCTCGCCATACTACATACGTAGTGAGGAAAAAAGTATTGTGATGCTGCAGCTTAAAGTGATACATTTTCTTTAGAAATAGAAATTCGTTAGAAGTTATGGATTTTTATATTGTGAGGCACTGATATAGAAAACCCGAATAAGTAGAGTTCCTATTTATAGTAAATTACTTTAACTCAAACTTAGTTTAACCAGAAGGTGTTGTGGGTCTTTGATTCAGAGAAATTGGTTTAAGGCGAAACATCTATCTGCTCGTTCGTCTGTGGTAAACGATAGTGATTAAATCATTCAGACTATTTTCATGATTTGATATTTACCGATCGCACTGACAGAACTTGAGGCCCTAGGAATTTGAGAAGTATATTTTAATTTTTGGAATTCCTTATATAAAGTCTTATGTACCTCAAAACCTTTTTAGCTTTAAATTCTTGGATTAAATTTTTCCTCATATGGAGTAAAGGACGCTTGTAAAAATGGTCCAGTCTCATACCCTCTTTATTTTCGAAAATTGCAAAAGTTCAGAATTATTTCGGCGTCTTCTACAACCACAATCTTAGAGATTGTTTATTAATGAAATCAGTTTTTCAAAGGTAAATAAGGTCATGTATAATTTTTCGAAACTATAAGTATTTTCGCGTAACTTGTCGTGAAATAAACCAGGCAATTAAAAAATGTAATTTTCTTAAAAACTGCTCCAATTTGTTTCTCGAATAGAGCAAAGTACGCTTATAAAAATGGTGTAGGTTCTATTTCGTTTATCTCTCTGAATGTTTGGCGTAACGTTTTGGCCCGCATTGCGGGCGGGCCTAAATAAAAGGGGGACGACTGTTAGGCTGAAGGTTTTGTGATTATAAGAAATGGTAATTATCTAATACTTTCTTTGATATATTGAGATTGTTGATACAATAAAAGGTTAAGAATCCGATCTTCCAGCAAAACGATTTTTACGTCGGTTTCTTGTGTAACCATGTATCTAAATTAATAAAGGTAAGCAATTCATTTATGTTTTATAATTGTCTTAATATCATAAAATTAAAAAATTGATATGTTTTACTCTATTCGTTGTTAATTATAGACAGATGAATATGAACTTGTTAAAATATACTTTTATTATTTCAGATACTAGCACTACAGGATTTTGCTATAAACGTTTATAAAAGGGGGCCCGGATAAAAGTTTTGCAAGCGGGCCGGCACTCATTGCATTACGCTACTGGATTTAGCAGTAGTTTTAATTTACCGTAATGTGTTGTATCCTCTACTCACCCATTCTATTGTATTAATTATCTTATTTGAATGAGTATGTCCTATAGCCTGAACTTCGTATATAAAGATATTTATGTTAATTATTTCTTAATTAAGTAATGAGTCCATTAGTAACGGGAGAAATTAAAGACAATGATTAATGTAGAATGATTAGTCTATACTACTTATAGTGTTTTATTTCATATGAAGGTTGCATTTCCACAAATTATCCAATCAAATGTAGACATTTCGTTGGTTTTAAAATCCTTTGGATTTCCTTATAAAAAAGATAGTAATTAATACAATGAAGGAAAGGGAAAACAGAATTGTGTTGTTTATTGTTCGAGGTTTCCATTTCATTCTATCTCACTTGCTTTTATTGATAATATGCACTGAAGGAGGCATCTTCTTCTTCGAAAAACCTGAAAAGAAAAAGGTATTTTAGATAACAGTCGAAATCACGAAGAGTGCCAAATAGTTTAGTCTCCCTGCACATCTATTACAATCGATACTGTGAAAAAACAGAAAATATGAACTTTCTTATTAATACCGGCGAGCAAGCTGAATAATAATTAGGTGTGATTAACCAACGAACTCTGGGCGATGCGTAAAAAACATCAATATTTATTTTTCGGATAATTTTTAATTCGCGCATTTTAATGGAATGAACAAGTTATGAATAAACAGTCGATTCGAACAAACTTTTTTTAACCACCCATCAATTCGTTTGGTTTAGTAGGCAAACAAAAATAAAACACAACAAACGATATTGTGATAAACACTTGCTTATTAATACAAAATTCATTAAAACAATAACTGACTAATGTTAAAGTTTTCGCCGTTTTATTAGAAACATTTAATTAAATAAAAATTAATTTTTCTTTGAGTAGAAATACGTACCCTAACGCCCTATATGGCTGCAATTAATTGGTTTCGATTATTCTTAATGAATGATCGCCAGGTGGCAAATGTGTGCAGATTATACTTTTCCCCGGTACGTGACAAACATTTTTAAACTTTTTTGACAAAACAAAACATAATAGAGTTATTATCTTCTGCTCCCGCATTCACCAGGTGTTGATCGGAGAATTTTTTTTAAGAGATCAGTCATTTTTGCTTAAAGTCACTGCATTTTATATTTATCCCTAAAAACGGCTCCAAATGTTTGCTCGAATTGAGCAAAGGCCTCTTAAAAATGGTGCAGGGCTCTTTTTCTTTGAACTCCCTGAAGTTTTGAAAATTGCAAGTTACAAATAATTGAAGAAAGCGTATGATGTAACACCTCTAGTTTCTTTATTAAATTTATTTACTTATTTTGAAGTTATTTCTACAGTTAATAGACCTATTAAATTTTAGAAACTTAACCTATTTATACTGTGATAATCCAGGAAAACCAGGTTTAATTTGTATGGGAAATCGGCATCAAATGTCACGTTGGGATTTAAAATCGAAAGAGTAAACGTTGTTAAAGCGATGAATCAACAAGTATAGTTTTCCATGCTTGGTATCATATCGCCGTTCATTTGAGGAGGTTCGGCCCCAGAGACATTACAAGCGAGGGAGATGGCATTGAAAGCTGTGACTCTGAGGGAAGAAGAAATTAATTACTCTCTCACGAAAGAACTTCGAGAAATCCTGATTCCATATAAAATTACACGACCAAATCCAGACGAGAAATGTTTCGAACCCATGATTCAATTCGAAATTGAAATTAATATAAAAATATTTTAATATTGAAAGAACTCATAAGCACATCAGGGCACCAAAATAAAATATTATTGAAATTAGAGTTCCGTTTCAATGCAAATACATATTTTTATTACGTGTGAAGTCCTTTCAAAGTTTCATGAGGTCATGGCCCATCTTTCATCCCCCCTATGCGAACGTCCACGCCGTGAACAAAATTCTTGACACGTTTTTCCTGACTTTGTACGCCAAAATGCTGTAGAAAATCCTAGATAAGTCCTTGAAATCGTAATTCGTAATTGACTCCATACTGTTGAATGGTTGAGGAAAAAGTCAATATTTTTTAAATTAATTATTCAACCTTCATTAGTGTAGTTTTGAGTAACTGTGAAGTTATTTAGAGCTTACCTTTTAAAAGATATAGTCGCGAAACCAAATAGATGGGTGACTCAAATATCAGAAAGACAATAAGACCCAGTGTTGTGCCAATTCCATAATCCGCAAAGAAGACCTGGATCTAAAAATAATCTAGGTTTAGAATAAACAATACTTCACACATATTTTTGTAATAAATTTGTCAACAGAACTATTCCCAGTTTGTCATCTAGTGACACTTCGGGGTTAATTAAAGTATCTTCGAAGTATTGGTCAGTTACTTAAGACTGACGGCTCTGTATGAAATGACACTATCTACAGGAAGCTATCAAGCCAACAAATTTACAAATTTCGCCCGATAATTGAGTAACTATTCATAAACTAAACTATAGGTCACAGATTTGGTACGTTGATTACACATACTTACCCATGCAAAAATATCGAACCAAACCGGCACCCTTCTACGACCACTGTTGTGCAGCAATAAAATGAAATGTGCCATATTTGTAGAGTACGAAATTCGACTCAGCACCCGAAAAGCGTAACAGTTGAGGAACCGGTTAAGTAGTCCTGGAAAATACAAATAATTTAAATAAAAAAATCATATTGATAATATCTATGGTGGACCCTTTAGTGATCACATCCCGGTCAGGGTGTGGTGTTTCCGGTTCAGGGTGTGGTCCCGGCCACGGTGAGGTTGTTTGTTCCCTTCAGTGACCCTCATTTCGTTGCCTCCTCACCATTTTAGTCTATGTTCTTACGCGACTCTCACTCATCGTCTTGTTTTATTTGTCTTTATAACGGAGATTCTATTCATTGCTGGCATTATTAATTATTATTTTGGGAAACGATGAATATTTCGTAGAAATTTGAGTTTCATACTACACACATACCGCTTATCCTCAACAAAAATGTACTGCATTAGAGACCCAAGAAATTTGCTAGGAGTAGACAATTATGTCATTACAGAAGCTATATAATTTCAATAAAACGACTAAAGTTAATATAATTGTGTCGATGAATTAAACAATTTGAGTGGCGAGGAAAGAGAGGTGTAAAATGTAGTCTCCGATATTGAAAGTCTCGTTCAATTTAAATTTTATTCAAATTCACTCTTTCGAATATATCTCGTATATGCCTTCATTCAATGCTTATGATGTATTTTTTAATTTTTTATTATTGAATTTGCGGTATATAAATACAGCCATTAGTAATTTGAATTATTATAAATGGGGGTTAACACTTATATTTCTCCGAAATTTTGTTAACAATTAACAACTAGTGAGTTTATGCCACTAATATTATAGTATAAATTATGTAAAATATTTATCGTCATTACTTCATGAAAAAGTATAATTATGAATGAAGAGTAATAAATAATAAATTGAGCATCCTAAATAATTGAGTTACCCAAAATTTATGTGTTCAACAAGAAAGGAAACTAAAATTCTGCTTCCCGGCTGTGTTTATTATTTTCATTGCAAAACTGTCCAATCTGGAGTTACGGGGTATGACGTTATGGTCATGCTACGTCGCGCACAACGTAAACGTTCTCAAGTCAAACTGGATACTCTTCGTACGACATATTGTGTGTATGATTTCATTGGCCAAGAATCGCGAAATAGCCGGCGGAAATGTCACGTTTCCAGGATTCCAATCACTTCAGGAAGCGCTCATTCTGCATTCATAAGGAACGTTCATCAAATACGAGTATCTCTAAGTGATCCTTTAATTACAGAAAGCATTTATTTCTTAAGGTGTACGCTCATTCCTCAAGTGTCGACCACGAATTCCGCCCATATCACTTAAGTAAATCAAATTCCACAAAATTGCCGAGTTACAGTTTGTTTTCATTCTGTTCTTAACAATTTATGTACTGTGAAAAATCCCCATTAGTGCTGTCCCCCAAACAACAGTGTATGAGTTTTGTGTGTCCAATTGTGATAGGCCTTTTTCTCTGAAATTATATTAACCATTGACGTTTAGAAGCACCGATGAAAGAGAATCATTTCTTTATGTATATCAACTTCCTATATCATAAATATATAGTAAAAATTATAAAAAATATTAAAAATATATGAATATATTTTTAGGTACAACAAATAAATATTGAAAGTATTTTCATTTATCCTTAAAGAAAAATGTATAATAATAATTTTTGAAACTGCGCATTATTATAGTTTAAATCATTTAGGAATGCATGGATTATAAGAATTTATCGGAAGATACATTAACCAAACTTGTACACCAGTTCCATAGGAACAAATTTAACTACAACCCATTCTCAATACCAAACAAACTTTCACAAAATAACAAAGCATTGCAAACCTCCGTAGCCCGTGTGGCGAGCGAACATGATCAGGTAGTTGCAGGTCCCCAGAAACAAAGCGGGAGAGATTCGGGGTTGGCTGCGTTTTCACGTGAAGGTTGTGCTTGAGGCCTTGGTATCATGAAGTGGAGGCCAAAAGTTGCGACTGCTACATCGACGCACAGGCGCATCCACCCGAGGGCCACCAGGGTCTACAGGTTGAAAAGAGGAGTTATGTTAGCGCAGATGACTTGATTGATTCAACTGCCTAACGACCAGCGCGTCAACTGTTAAGGACCTTAGTCCCGTAAATGTAGTGCATGTTTGTTCTCGGTAGGCTGCAGTGATCTTCCCTTGTTAGATGATCAAATCCGACGTCGACTAGCGGGGTTTTATCTAATCAAGTATCTGCGACCCGCGGGGCACCGTTCCAGCCAGGATAAGCTCTAAGCTCCCGTCCGGTTTCCCGGCATGTGCGGTAGTATAGTGCATGTAAGTCTAAGTGTGTGTGAGGAGCGAGGATACAAGGATAGGACAAGGAATGGGAAGGACAGATCATGCACGGTCCGTAGTTTGTTTGGTAGGACACTGCTCCGGCTTTTGTATTGATCGGAGAATTTACGGAAAACTTCCGATCAAAGCTACCGGCCGCTAGAATTCTCCTACAGATAGCGACCGAACTGGACCTATAGTGCGATTTTTATAACTGTGCGCCTCGTAACCATTCGTCATCAAGTCTCGACTTTGTGGTGGAATTATGTCACTGCGTTTCGCGTCTTACTCGGTCGTGCCGGTAGGTATTGTACAAAAACTGACAAACGTCCAGTAAACATTTCGATTAATCCAAGCTTCCTCCGTCTTTGAACTCAATCAAAATGTATTTGGAAGGGAATTTTAAGAACTTCAACAACTTTTTAATTCGCTTTGGCTAATTTACTCATCTTTCTTAAATATGAGAAAAAGCGACTTGAATTTTGCTCACTGCTGCAGGGAATGGGTATGTTTTATGAAGTCTCATAAGTTAGTACTGTGAAAAATGTCATTAAATATAAAGTAGATTAATGCGTTAATGTACATGAAACTTATGTTCCTTGTACCTATAATAGGAGCTTAGTATTTGTGTACAGTGATTTTATTGCTTAAATTAAAATCAGTGTAGATTTAAAGTAGAGGTTCTCCCATTTCCCCCGCCTCTCATCATTCATATCATACATTCATAATCACTAGTCGTTCGAGATCATTCATTCCAGTCACGACCATAAAGCTTTGATTATTGCATGCTATTTTATTACGTGTACATTAAATTTAATGTGATTTCATAATTTAATGTACATTGCATTAAGGTAATGCAGACATTTATATCAATGTAACTTTTCTCTTGCTTTGAAGTTTACGCTTACACTATTTCGTCGTGGAATAAATCTATATTTAGACGAAAAATGAAACAATTTTCTTTGAACAATATGAAAAAAAGTAGTCTAGGTTATGCACAACGAAACACTTCTTTTCACTGAAAACTGCATTGAAATCGGTACAGATATTTCAGAGATTACATGGGGCAAATTCCGCAGACAGAATTCATAAAAAACAATTAAAAGAATTTTCATCCTATCTAATTAAGCATATGGGTTTACAAAAAAAATTTAATCACAGACACTCCAACTTTACTTACATGGAAGATCGACAAGAAAGTGAAATTACAAAAACGCAATTAATTTTAAATCACGGACAATTTAATTTTATTTACGTACATTGTGCAAAACACGATTCGTACAACTGGATGTCTCTCTCAATAAATGTATGTTTAATATGTGAAAATCGTTAATTTTTCCTCAAACTGTCTCTTGCTTCTTCCTCAATTTTCAATAGTTATCTTTCAAATTTATCTCAGATACTGAATGTAAAAGACATACTTTCGAGAAAGAGTTTTTCTATTTCTCTATGCAGTTTTTAGATGTATTTAAGGAATTGAAGTTAACTCTCTGAACTGTAACAAAAACCAAGAATATCCTAATTTTTGCATTTCATAAGGTTGTTGTAGAGAATAAGTAGATCAACATTCCTTAACACTAATATTTTCGATTCTGTTTGATCCATTGCAAATTACTAAATCTTTCTTACCTTACTCATATTCATCTTTTTCCCTCTAATACGATGAAGTATATATCCGAGATACAAGCCAACCAAGTAAGATGAGGTATGCATGTGTGTTTTCCCGTGATTATTTGTGAAATATTGAACTATTTCTTCATCTCTGAAACCATATACAATAAATTGATTAAGTTACATTATATATTCTACACTGAGGTGACAAAAATCATGGTATTACAATATGAAAGTAAATATGGCAGTCGCATCGATTACAAAAGGTATAAAAGGGCAGTGCTTTGGCAAAGCTTTCATTTATACCCAAGAGATTCATGTGAAAATGTTTCTGACGTGATTATGGTTACAATTACGGTCGCAGGAATTAACAGAGAGAAAAGTGGAATGATAGTTGGTGTTATCGTGAGACATTCGGTTTTGGAAATCGTTAGGAAATTAAATATTCCGAACCCCACTGTGTTAAGAGTGTGCCCAGAATTTCTAATTTCAGGCATAACCCCGGACAACGCAGTAGCCAATGCCTTCACTTAAGGGCCGAGAGCAGCTGGCCGTTAGCAGAACAGACAAGCAACACTGCGTGAAATCACAGCAGAAATCAATGTGGAACGTACAACGAAAGTATTCATTAGGACTGTGCGGCGAAATTTGACTTTTAATGGGCTGTGGCAGCAGAAGACCAACTCGGGTGCCTTCGGTAACAGCACGACATCGCCTGGAGCGTCTTTCCTGAGCTAGTGATCATATCGATTGGATTCTAGACGACTGGAAAACCGTGGCTTGGTCAGATGACTCCCGATTTCAGTTGAGAAGAGTTGATGGTATGGTTAGAGTGTGAACCTTACGACACCGTAGACTCAAGTTGTCAACAAGGCACTGTGAAAGCTGGTGGTGAATCCATAATGATGTATGTTGTTTTTACATGGAATGTACTGGGTTCTTTGGTCCTATGAGCTGATTATTGACGGTAAATGGTTATTTTCAGATACTTGGAGACCATTTGAAGACATCCATGAACTTCATGATCCCAAACAACGATGAAATTTTTGTGGATAACAATTCGTCATGTCACCAGGCTACAATTGTTCGCCACTGGTTTGAAGAATATTTGGGACAATTCGATCGAACGATTTCAAATACCCCGACATGAATCCCATCGAATATTTATGGGATATAATCGAGAGGTCAGTTCGTTCACTAAATCCTACTCCGGCAAGTCTTTCGCAATTATGGACGGCTATAGAGGAAGCATGGCTCAATATTTGTACGGAGGACTTCCAACGACTTCTTTTGTCCACGTCATATCGAGTTACTGCACTTCGCTGGGCAAAAGGAAGCCCCTCATGATATTAGGAGATATATCACGACGTTTGTAGATTTACCTACTGAAGGATTACGATATAATACTATCAAATTACGGATTCACCTGATATAATTGTATAAGCACAGAGATGGGGTAAGAGACCCCAACTGGCTACGTAATTGTACAGATAGATGAGTCTAAAGGGTACCTAGGCGTGATGTTCGCGGAGTGCGATGGCGCTCATCCCCCAGGGAGGCGGTGGTTACAGCGGGTGGCCCTGGTATGTCACTTAGGCACCCAAATGTGTGCCAGGAGTGTGTGTGTGTGTGTGTGTGTGTGTGTGTGTGTGTGTATGTGCGCCGTCTCAATATATAGAGAAACTAACTTGTACGAGAGCCTGTTCCACTTTGTAACACCACTAGTTAGTACATCCCTTGACTTATATGTTCTTCCTTTTACGATGAGCGGCTTCAATTCACGTTTATTATAGTGCTAACAATTAATTTAGGCGGTTCTGTCTCTACTTTTCCGCTTCTTGGCAATAAATGGCGTTTGCTTATTCCCCTGACAATATGCAAACACAAAACATTGAACCAAATCTAATGGTATGCAGAAAAGGGAGAGAGCTGACTTTTTTAATAAAGAAAAGACCTAGTTCGTAAAAAGTGGTTTTATTCTCAGCCGTATATCGCAAAGAATGTACCATGGACACCATGGTTTCCAAACTTGCCATGAGATGTACCAGAGAAACGTCGAGTCATCAGATGCCATCAAAAAGTCCCAAATCACGAACGCCCTGGAATCCCTGAATGTCCTGGAGAGAATGTACACGTAGGCTTCCGCGGCTCGAGTTCATGACTTCTTGGCTGTCTGGATGACGCCGCGTCGTTGGCTGAGAGGCCGACGTTTCGACTGTCATTTCGCAGGCTTCTTTAGGGTAGTGATGTTATAGAGGAATATTTTTCCTTCAAATGAAAATTGTTGTCCACAATTAATTCTTTTACTAAGGTCATGTACATTGTTTCTAAAATTTTCGTAGTTTCCGCGCAATATTTGCAATTTTAAAAAATTAAAAAAACACGATTTTCTAAACAAATAAATCTAATTTTTTTTGTAAACTTTTGGTAAGGAGTGTGATAAATGTACTCAATGAAGTGACATAAACGTTAGTTCGCTCTATTCTTATGTTTTTTCAAACATTTCGAAAATTGTAATTTTTTGACAATTCTTTCACGTCGTTGATATTCATATTAGCAGCAATGTGTTCACATTTTTATATTTGTGAGTACTTGTGTTTTAAGTCATGTCAGATGAAGGTTCTTGAATACTTAACCTTTTCTGTGAAAACTAGCACAAAATTCCGCACTTTCGGAAACGCTTAAATGCCATTTTCTCAAAAACTGCTCCAAATTTTTTCTTTACACTTTCTGATTGGTTAGTGCCAATTGCACTCTTTAATATGACGTAAAGTTTATTTTGGAGAATTTTTTTTAAAAAATTACTAAAATGTAATTTTTGAAAGATTTCATACAGTTAATATGTACATTTCTAGCAATTTGTAAAAAATATTGTATTTGTGAGTTAATGTTCTTCAAATGACTTCTAAAAAATGTTTTCGATAACTCAAAAATTTTCTGTGAAGAAAAGCTTCAAATTTCAAATTTACTGTAGCGCTTAAAAACCATTTTTTTTAAAAACAGCTCCAAATGCTTAAAAGAAAGTTGCCATTTAGTTAGTGGTTTTATTGTTCTTGAATATTTCAAAAATTTTATTTCCGTTCTACTATTGGTAAATCTAAAAAATAAGAAAATTGAAAGAAAAATTACTTTCGGCGACGATATATGGCAGCTGGCAAGAATATGTGGCAAGTCCGATTAGCATTCTGTATCTCCATTAGTTTCTTGAAGGTTTAATATTTGTTCCAGATGTTTATTGAAATTCTATAGGATGCCTACAACTTGAAATTCCGTAAGTTAGTCTTTCGAACGTGAAAATGGCGTTTCTAATTAAAGATATACCACATCTTACAAAGGATTCATATTTGAAAGAAGAGCTCTCTAGAAAAAGCACGACACGAACGAATTTCATGCTGGAATAAGAATCGTATTTCTTTGGCCTCCACTTCACCAGCACGACAGAAGCGGCGTGGAGTTCGTTCGGTTATCGCAGGTGATGCCACGATTGTCGTAGCCGATACATGCCGCTTCCTGGAGTTTGAAGCGCATTAAGGCGGTACACATCACTTAAAACTTATACATAACTTAGCTTCAAATTTCGAATTTACGGTAGTGCTTAAGGCCGTTTTTTTAAAAGCCACTCAAAATTTTTCAAAGAAAATTAACTTACATCAAACAAGTGGAATATTACCTTACAACAAAGTTACTTTATCATTAAAATCTATTAACATCTCACTCAGTCCTGAATTATTTTTTTCAAAACTAATTCTACAAAAAATGTAAACCATTACATGACTGGGGGTCTGACTGGGAATCGTTCCTGGTACATTTTGGTTTACATATTCTCCTTATTTTACTATTTCAAATTTCACCTGACTATTGCCCAAAGGTTGTACCAAGAACGCCCAGTCATGATAAAAATGTATATATACGTGAGTTCGATAGACCGTCCATACAGATGTTCGGTGACGAAACATTTACGTAAAGTAATTTATTTCCTCCTTACTTAGAATTGAGGTATCCATTCTGATTGTACATTTACTTGCTCATTATTCACAAACAAATAATATTACTGACTCTGAATATCGCCGATTACTGAATATTGTTTGCATCCGAAAATTATCGCATCAAAATGCCGTATTCTTAACTACGTCAAAAACATCGCCTTTACAAATTAACAATTCACTCCGACTCCTCCCGCATCTGAATATTTTCCCCACATACATCCGGCCCATACCGTGTCAAAAGTGTCTGGTTGTTGGTTTATGTCATGTCTCTTATCTGCCCGAAATATAACGCGTCTCCTGTTCGTTTCTAGTGCGCAGACCCTTCATTTCCGCTCACATTATTTAATTGGTCACGCGCATTTTAACACAGTATCTGTTTATTCTTTGGTTGGTGTTTCGTAATAACGTTTTTAATTTATTTTCTCATCCATTTGCTCTCGTGTCCTTTCGCTTTATTATTTATCAACATATTCTGTATTTTTCCCGCTATCAATTATGTTGACATTTCCTTATATACTTTCCACTTAACACTCACCTCTGTTTCTTTTCTGTCTCCGCATTGTAGCAATGGTGCGTATTTATATTTACGTTAATTTATTGTTCCTGTTTATCATAATGATCACCCATCACACTAGCAGTTGACAGAATGGTTAAGTTTGCTGATGTGCGTTTTTACAATTTTCCCATTTGGGCAATTTTTCGGTCCCCTAATAGTAAAATTGACTTCAATATTATTATACAAGAGGAAAATCTGGTTTTATATACAAAATCTCGTTGAAACATTTAAAGCTTTTTTTAGAAAATATCTAAAAATATTTCTGAATACTCGCAATTTTAAGCTAATATTCACAGTAAAGTTTTAATTTTTCAAGAATATTCATCAAAAAACATTTGAAGCACTGTTCTCACAAATACAACTATTACAAAAACCTCCTGTAATGTTAATATTGCGCGACGCATTTTTTGAAATATTTCGTACGTCGCGACGTAAGAGATATTTCAAAAAAATGCCTTGTAATTTGTGTACTTTTTTTCAAAACCAAAATAATACTTTGAAATGATGTGATATTTTTTTAAAATTATTTATATTTCACTCAAAATTAAGAGAAAACCGGAATGGAGATATATTGCGCTGTGGATCAAGTGGAAAAAAACGGTATATCTGGGT